ATGTTCAATGACCCATTCATGGCTGACTCCCCTCCTCCAGATTCTGCCCATGCTCTACTAGACCTGATTAGACCACAAAGGTGTAGCATGGTTATGGTGGATGTGAGGTGCATGTCTAGCAGAACTTGGATCAGTTATCACATTATACACAATGTCTTCGAGAAATACTCCCTTGTTAGTAGATGTGGCGATTCCACGACAAGTTATTTTAAAGCCATGGATCATGCATCAGCGATGGTTTTTTACAAGAATGTGTCCAAGGTTGATTTGTTTGTGCCGAAATATGCAGTGACCAAAAGGATTGTGGCGCTTTCAGTACGACTCACCGAAGTGACCTGTACACTGTCAAGCCACATAAGGTACCCTCGACTAGGCATACACATGCTGTATAGAGCACAGATTTGAAGCAGTCCGTCATCGGTACACTACCGCTCTATTTCCCATTTCTACAGTGGTCTAAACCAATCTCCATGCTACAAGATGTTAACTGAACCTGACGGCTGCGTTTAGAGATCGTTTACTTCACGGATTTAGCTCCAAGCAAAACCACATATGCCTCTCGCTTGACTTGGTCAGAGCTTTCGGTAATGCTGAGGTGGCAAAACGGCGCACCACCGAGAACTGTCTTGCAATTGTTTTCATTCCACTGACAGATCACGGCATGACAGATGCATTGCAGTCACCATAGCATTTGCGAGGGAGACCAATCTACTCAGTAGCTACCACAACATCCGCAGTTGACTTCGGTATCACCGCAGAATTGTTCCACCACTCACGTCGCGCATGAATGTAGTCAAAGCAGCATGGTAGATCTTCCTTCATGCAATGCGCCTACCATGCAGTGATACATCGTCGGAACCAAACATTCCTCAACCAATTCTGGGTGGTACGCAGTTCTACCATCAGTCCATACTGCTCTGCCATCCTCCAAAGCGAATTGCATTGTGAAGCACCAGGAAGTTGCTTGAATGATTCTCCTCTGGGAAACCGCATACGAGAGACCTCGCTACCAGAGTAAGCGACTGCAAGGTGCCCCCTCAACGGCAGTAGATCAGTCGACACGAAGATGGGCAGAGTGGGTTTGCTGCGTCAGCACAGAGAAAATCATGCCTAAACTTGACATCCATGCTGATTTTTAAAAACCTACGAACGAATCGGACTAGCCTTTCTTCCGAATTCGCGCACAATGAAGCACTCCCGCAAAGCCACCCACCAGTACAACGAGTTCTGCAGACAACCCCACTTCACTAAAACATGAAACCACCCAGTCTCATCGAAAAAGCAGTCCATCTCAGCATAAAGCTCACTTGGATAGAATAATGCGTATATTTGACTATGAAGAGCACAATCGGAGCGGTACTGCAGACGAAATCAATGGAGCATAATCGAGCAAGCCAAATTGAAATACATGCATCACCTCGCAAATCAACGCCCTTTGCAATCTAATCCTCCCATCCACAGGAATCACTCGTCTTGTCATCATCGTCCTCCGATGTGTTCTCCAAGCACTGTCGCCTTCTGCTCACCATCTCAAAAATCGCCTACAAGGCAAAAGCAAATTCAAACTAAACAAGCTGCCTATTGCGAGCAGGGGTGGGGTATTGCTGAGTAGAAAAGACATGAGCAGAGAACCATTGGGGAGAAGTGATTAGGGCACATGAGTCAGAATAGGAAGGAGTGAGCGTGGATATGAACTCACAGAAACGTCGCAGATACGACTGGTAGT